CGCGGCGGTCACCACACCGGCCGGGTCGGTAAGAAAGGAAGTTTAAACCGCGTTTTCTGTATTTAACGTCTTCGTAGTGCCCCTCCCCACGAATAAGTTAGGGCTCGCTGTGAACCACTAAGCGGAAACCCAAATACCCATCTAAGGCCCCACGGCCATTCTGCCTGGGACCCTGCCTGGCCTTCGGGGAAACTAACCAGCACACACGCAGGCGCCCGCACAACACTCTCCAGACTCTCTAAAGAGGCTTGTGAGGGGCCGACTGGAAATGCAGCTGTGGGGGAAAAGGGGAGCAAGCGCCCTGAGGTTCTCTATCACCTGGTCTCCAGGGACGTGGGTGCCACAGCCAAAGGTATGACGGGAGAGTCTGCAGGTGTCATTGCCAAGCTCTCCCGAAAGTGACAGGTGCCCAGGGCACACGGGGTGGTGGTGGTGGGCAGACCCCCACGCGGCCACTTCTCCATCCCTTCATCCCCACCTCACTCGCTCGCTCGCTGACTGACCTCGACCTTCCATTCCAGAACCTACTTCAGAACCTGTGTCTAACCCCAGCAACCTCAGGTGCTACCTGCACTCAGGGATCTGGATAAAAGGATCACACGCACTCCAGAGCCACCAGGCAAAGGGACTGAACCCTCCCGTGCCTCAGTTTCCCTCACTCCCAAGTGGAAATTAATAACAGTGCTTAGTTCGTCAGGTCTTACGAGGATCGCGTTACATTTAATATTTGTAATGCCCTTAACAGCCTGGCGCACATGAAACACTCCACAAACATTAGCTTCCGTGGTCAAGTCCCAATTTTTAGACGATGAAAATACTTACACATTTAATGCCACATACTAGAGGGAATTGCAAGAGAACCTGGAGCTGGAAAGGGACCTCAGAAATAACATGTTCCACCTCTTTAAGATGAGAAAGAGGGCAGCGAGGGCCTTGCCGAAGGCCAGGCACAGGGGCCCCCAGATCCGGACCCTGCGTCTGTGTCCTCTCCACACCTCTAGCACACGGACTCCTGGGCTGTGAAATACAACGGAGCCGCTTTCCTTCTAGAAAAGAGGGCTTTTCATCCTTAAGGAAAAGTATGTAAGGCAATGTTCTGTGTATTTTAACAGCCTGAAAATTTTCTGAAACCTCCCGCTTTGGTTTGGAGCATCTGATGTGTCTCCACAGGACGTTTCTGGGAAGAACCCCACGCTACCCCAGGGGAAAAGCATTCAGGTCACCGCTGGTTTGATTTTGTTGAGTTTATTGTGTAAGAACATAGTTTTGTTTCTTGTAAAGAGCAAAAGTGAAGTCGAGACAACATCTGGGAAAAGATCTGTACCCCTGGGGAGCAGACACTTTGCTCAGAAGCACTGATAGTTGGCTTTTTAAAAGTTTTCCAGAATGCAGATTCTTTACACTAAAAATCCGGTTTCTGTACAAGTCACACGTCCCAATGAAAGTCTGAGAATGCCAGATGAGAGATGAGCTAGTCACCCTCCCCTCATGCACGCCCACCTGCTCTGAGGTTTCCTATGTCACTAGGGGTGTCCCATCAGCCGACTGTGTGACCGAAAGCCTGGGTGTCACCCTGGAGTCCCCACTCGTCCTCTCCTGTCACGGCCAGTCCGTCAGTAAACACTGCCTGCCTCTGGACGTAGCTGGAACCTGGTCCCCAGCGTCACGGCTCCAGCCCCCATCCTGGCCAGCTCGTCTTTGCCTGGGGTGCCGCGGCAGCTCCCAGGGCCCCCCCACCTCTGATGCTGCAGTGGAGGAGAGAGACGCTTTATTCACACCATCAGCTCATCCTGGTGTCCTCCTCACCACCCTCTGCCCAGTGGCAGGAAGGATCCTCTAATGCTTAAAATGGAGAAGTCGAGTCCTTGCTGAAAACCCACAGCAGCCTCCTCCCGCATCAAAACACCGCCAGGTTTCCCTCGACCTGCAGGGGTGCAGAGCCGGCCGGTCTAGACTCCTGCTCCCCTCACTCTCAGGGTTCCACCCCACCTGGCATCCTTCTGTTCTGCAGATTCATCTCAGCCCCAAGGACCTGCTCCCCCAACAGATGCGCTGTTCCCCAGGGGCCCCCTGGCACCTTCATCCTGCCCTTCAGGTCTGGGACAAGCGCTGGTCCTCAGAGGGCCCTTCCCTCTGTGTGCATGCCGCCCTGCAAACCTGTCCTCTGGCAGGACCACGTTTCAACTAGTTCACAGCATTCCTCAGTGTCCGAGATGATCTTTTCAGCTGTGCGTGTGCTGGGCTGACTCCTCCCAGCTCCCCGAGGCCAGGCTGGCTGGCTGGCTTGTACATGGCTTTATCTCCTGCATCTGAGAGTTCCCGAGGAAAATATGTGGTCCCCCAGCCTGGTAATTTGCTGTCTTCCTTTTGAAAGCTCTTTATTTGGTGTCTTCATGTTTTTGCTAAAATCTGTCATCTACTGTGACTCATCTCTGTGTATCGCAATGCCTTTTGGGCTTAAATTCAGTGTGGTCTGACTTTAATATTGTTCATAGATTGTACCTTGCGTGGTTATATGTGATTTTAAGAAGTCTCAGTTCTCTTCTTTAATATCTCCCCATAACACGTTTCAGGCGCAGTTTGGTGATCTCTCACGTGTGTGTACATTTGTGTAGCCAGGACTATCAGGGTGCAGACCAGCCCCATCGCCCCCACCCCGAGCCCTGGCCACCCCAGGGCTGCTCTCCATGATGACAGCAGCATCTCCCTGAGACTGAACTGGATGCCAAGGAGCCTTGGGACCAGCATTCATCACGTGGCACAATGTCCCTCTCTATAGTTGCCCCTGGTCACTGTGGAGTGGCAATGCCTTGGATAGCTGTCCCCACACAGCCCAAGGTCTGCTCCTGCTGGGGGCGGGGGCGGTGGGCCATGACCTTGGCCTTGGCCGAGCTCAGCCTCTTGGCCACTTACCGGGCAAAGACGGTGCCGCTGCCGCCTGGGAAGGTGTAGGGGTGCTGCTTCCGGAACACGTGTCCCACACGGCTACAGGGGATGATCTCCAGGCTGCCGCCACACTGCCACACACGGAACGAGATCTCTGCGGCCGAGAGCGACACAGAGTGACCGCCGGAGCCTGGGGCCGCCCGACAGGGTGCAGACACCCACCCACCACCACCACCACCATGGGGGCTCCTGGCGCCCCCGACTGCCAGAGGTGATGTCAACAAGGAGCAGCCTCTTTCCAGAGGGTCCTGACCATCCCCTGCTGGGGACACCTAACACCCAGGCCTCTATGCTCCATGGCACAGCTGAGAAAGTATGTGCAGGGCAGGGGGTGGGGTGCCAAAATTCAAAATTAGTTTGACTGCTGGGAACATTTCACAACGTATATGTGTATCTGACCAGGTGTTTACCTTGAATATATACAATTTTTAAATTGCCAGTGAAACCTCAATCCAGATGGAGAAAGAAAAAAGACTGAAGGAGAGATCACACATCACGAAGAGGGTGTCTGCCCCGCAGAGGGTTGTTTTAAGGACAATATTAAGTGGCGGAGACGAGGAAAATAATTCACGCTGAGCAAACTACCCACACTGCGACATTTACTATCTTAGATTCTAGCGCTGATCAGAATTACGGATGCCGGCTATTCTCTGTGTCGCCAAATCCCATGTTCTCACGAAAGAATCCTATTTCAAATTCAAAAGAAAGAACAAGCTGGGGGAAACACTTTTCAGGTTCAGACTAGAAGCCCTGGCAGAAGAGTGATTCCCCTGGTCTACTGTGAATAGAAAGGACTGTGGGCGTCGGACCACGTCTGTCCTGTAGCATCACAGACATCGTGGGTAAGATGTGGGCAGGATTCCTCCGTAGCTGGCTCACGATCAGGGACGTGACATTCGCCCCTGTGAGCGTCCACACTGTCAGAAAAGGCAACCTGGAGGTGCGTGAACAGCCTGACTCAAAGCACAGTGTGCCTACACTGAAGCCCTAATGTCGATGTAACAAGCAGCCAGCTGTATCCACCACCTTCCTCTACAGCTCACTGTAAGTGCACTGATACCAGCACGCATCCGGGCTTTTCCATCCAGGACAAAAATCTCTTCCCTGACATCGCACAACATATTTTGTTCCTGAGCATCAGTCAGCAGGCGCCCAGCCAGCCGGCACAGCCCAGCGGCCAGGAGCAGACGGTGACTGACAGCCCTTGCAGCCACCTGGAGGAGGCAACACAGATTCTACCCGAGGAGGGAGGGGACACTTGGAGCCGGCGCTGGTCACCACGATGTGCACATGCACGCGGCCCAGAGCATCCTCGCCTGGGAGAAGCCTGGACGCGCTGGCTTCTGGGCACACAGGCACCCCACCAGGCTCCTGTCCTAATCGCCACCCATCTGAGCAGCTGCAGCCTGAGCCAGAGGTCTGACCAAACGTGGGAGATGGAGGTTAAACAGGAAAACCAAGACACAGCATTCTGTAAAGTTAGATTTTTCTTTTTTTTTCCCTGGAAGACTTCCCTGAAAGGCTTCATATGAAGGGTCTTTCATCTACATCACTTGGCATCCCTAACAACGGGGCGGGCAGCAAGGCAGAACGACAGAACCAGCGGTCACGCCGCCAGTGCAGATGGAAGGGAAACAGGTGGGGGGTCCCTGTGGACCACGCTGTGAGGCTGGGAAGTCCTCCAGACCAGGCTTCCTGCTGCCACGGGTGCCCAGGCTGCAGCCGACGGCCCGTGACACCCACTCAGGGGCAGACCAGCATCCATTTCTACCATTTCTCCCTGGATCCAGCAGACTGGAGCCAGAAACACCTCCCTCACTAGGAGCGCGAAACACCCACAGCTGCTGTGAGACCTCACCAGCCATTTCCCTTGCACCATTAGGAACGTGTGCTCACGACCAAACCCAGGCAGTGACAGCTCTCTGACTTTCCTTCTACAGTGTCGAAGAGAACCTGGCTAGAGGTTCTCTGGATCCAGGGAAACAAAATTCAGATGTACAATGGCTTGCCTGGAAAATTCAAAATCGGGGGCAGCAGAGGTCCCCTGGCTTCTGTCTGGGAGTCTGTCAAGTGGATTTTTACGGCTACGTACATGCACAGTGACAGTCAACTCTGATCCCACGGAGCCCTGCCATGTCGGGCTGGTTACTCAAGACCGCTCGGTGGCTTTTTGAGTAGGCAGTCTGTCCCCGCATCTCGGCTCTGCTAACGACCGGCTCTGAGAAGGTCAGGCTGGACCTCGGTCCTCCCAGAAAGCATGAAATGAGATGATGCCCGGGAGGCAGTCACACCCTTGCTAACGCGGACATGCCGAGAAGGACAAATAGTCCCCAAGGGGCCTAAGCCCTCCATCTCATAGGGGCCAGGGAGCTGGTTCTTTGTCCCCTATACTTGCTTCAATTAGACTTACACTGTTGGTCGGGGGCCCGGGAACACTAGTGGATTTGGGGGGGCACACCTGGAGGGGTTGTTTGGATTTTACTCAGGCATCCCCAAAGCCCGCTTCTCCTAACACAGGCCCTCAGGCCGGACAGCCACAGGGGTGTGCACGCGGCACCCAATCAAGTTAGAGCAGTGCCGAGAAGGGAAAGACCCACACATCAGGGACTCTCCCTGCCCTGTTCCTTCCTGTCTCACCTTGAGTCACCCCACCTGAGCCCCTCAAGCCCTTCCAGGGAACTTGCAGGGAGCCCAGGTCCATAAACATGAAAACCAAACCAACAATGAACCTGGTGATGGAAGCAATCCCTTCTCGCTGGTCTCCGGGTGCAGCAGCATCTCCTTTGATATTTAATTCAACACTCTTTTTACACACTGACACCGAATGCTGGCTGCCCACCCAAGCCCACTGCTGCCAAGCGCGTGGTGCTCTGGTCACCCAGGGGGCGGTGCTGGCTGCCGGCTCCCCCTGAGCCACAGGGGCCGTGAAGCAAGGGACGCTCGGAGTCGTCTTCAGGTCAACCAGCCTTCTGGCGCCTTTCCTGTGCAGAAGACCTCAGTCCAGTCCTGCCTCCCTGCCAATGCAGCGCTAAGAACACCCAAAGGAGTCTGACTCGGGGTCCTTCATCCTGTGCAGTTACTGAGTCTAAAGAGGATTTCAGCCTCCACCGAGCCGGTTACACCTCGCCATGGGTGAGGCGCCATCGCTCACAGTGACGCCATAAAATGAGAGAGAAATAATGGGCTTGTCTAGTTTAGTCTTTTCTTTTAAACTAAAAAAACCAAGAAACAAAGTCTCTGTTAAAAGCAAAACTACTAAAACTGACAGTGGCACTCCCTCCTTTTCCTGCCCCCCGCTTCCTCCAGGGTCCATCCACCCAAACGAGAATGAAATGTAACAGCGTTCAACAGCCGAGGAGACCTAGCTTAAAAGCTTCAAATGAAACAAACAAAACAAAATGAGACTCTTTTTATCTTTATGCAATAAAGATAATGCGGCTGCCGATACAGACCAAAGTCTATATAATTTCATTGTCCTTAAACAAGAATAAAAATGATTTGGATAAGTTATTAAACAAACAAACGAGAACCGTTCACAAAGTGGTCAAGAAGGGAGGAGACGCCACGGCCTCTCCACCACGTCCGATTCCCATGACCACAAGGCAGGCAGCGCAACAGGCTTGGCCGGGGCTCACCGTCCACCCCACGTGGCTCAAAATGGATCTCAGAGCCTGAAACCCCTGCCCTCAACTCCTTATAACCTTGCTTGCCAAAGCCCTGGATTCAGATGACATTTAAAAGTGTGCACCTTCCTTCAAAGACTGAATCTGTACTCTCGCGTCCTGCACTCTTAAGGCGACATATTCTAATGCCCAACTCAAGACTTTTAAGAGTGAAAACTTATACTATATAGGTGGACTAATTATGTCTGATAAATGGTCACTCCGACATCTTCTAAAACTTCTCCCTGTTGGCACCCTGCATGCCACAAACTCTTAACAGTCTCTTCAAAGCTTCCACATTTCATTTCTGCCTGTCTCCGTGGGCAGGAAGAGACCACAGTTTTCCCAGAACTGGAAACAGTGTGGCGTCCGAAGATCCGAGGCTCATACGTACCCAGGTTCTCTCCTCCCCACACATCCATCATCATGTCGTACTTCCCCAGTTCTTCAAAATAGAACTTATCCATCACGAACAACCCTCCAGCAATCATAGGGGTTCTAAAGAGGCAGAGAGGGTGGGAGGGAGGAGAGGGAGAGGTCGGAGGTCAAGGTTAGATCGCCAGCATGTGAATGCCAAGGTCAAGCCGACAAGCTGACATTAAGAACAACAGTACGGCCAGGGGCCAGGGTTCGTGGCTCAGAGCTCCAGGTGCCCCTCTTGGCTTCACCCCGACTGTCTCCAAATGCCCCCTACTCGCCCGCTCAGATGCTCACAAGTGCGAGGGGCTGCCCGAGCCTCCCCATGAGAGTGGCCTGGGGCTGGGACACTCACTGACAGTGGCCCCAGGCAAGTGCTCGGCTTGTCTGTGATACCCTAGAGGATTACAAAAAACAGCAGGCGCAAAGCACCCAGAGCACTTAGGACACGCTCCATCCCCTCAGTGGTCCTTAGTCCCCTCCCTTCCATAGGGCAGCTTCCGCCTCTGTCGGATGGGACTTTCGCCTTCCCCATCAGCCTGGGACAGGCCAACAGACAGCTCACTGAGCCCCAGCCCTGCTCCCTAGGGAGACGCTGGGAGAGCCCAGGCTGCACATCTGGACAGGGGGTGGGCAAAGTCTATGGGAGTACGTGGTGCTGACGGTGGCAGCAGGGCGCCCCCTCAGCCACGTGTCGCGTAGTGGCATCCTGACCCCAGCTGAAGCTGGCTGGCAAGAAATCCACACGGAGGGCAGGGCCAGCTGAGGAGGGGCAGCTGCGGGGCCCACGCTCACCACCCACCCTCTTCCCCGAGGTCAACTTGGAGAGCCCGTCCAAGTTGCGGAAAATGCTCTACATGAGTGACAGCAAGGACATGGAATGGGCAGATTTGCCATCTGCATGTCCGTATGGAAAAGAAATCTCAAAGTACTTCATTCTATGATCTGGTGGCTGAGCCCCTCCCCGGAGGGAAACAGAGGCCAGAAGGTAAGAGCTCGACCGGGTCCCCAGGGAACGCGGGGCGGGAGCCTGGTGTCCTTCACCTGTGACCCCAGGTAAGGGCAGCCCTGGGACGCCTGGCACTTACTTTATGGGGGCGACCGGGTTCCCTTGCCGGGATCTTCTCTGCTCAGGTGTCATGTAATCCCATTTGAACACCAAGTTCCAGTCAAAACCTGCCGGTCACAGAAAAGAAAAGAAACACAGGGTGCTGTAAGGACGGGCTGTTGCCTCCTGGTACCTCTAACTCTCCCAGCATAGAAATATTTGGTATTTACAGACACACAGTACTATACATGACAGAGATAAACAAGGACCTCCAGTATAACATGGGGAATTATATTCAGTTTCTTGTAATAACGTATAACCCAAGAGTCTGAAAAAAAGTATACATGTATGTGCACGTATAACCAAACCACTTTGCTGTACACCTGAAACTAACACTATAAATCAACTATACTTCAATAAAAACCAAAATTCAGGGGGGGGAGGGTATAGCTCAGTGGTAGAGCACATACTTAGCATGCTCGAGGTCCAGGGTTCAATCCCCAGCACCTCCATCAAAATAAATAAATAAACCTAATCACCCAATCCAAAAAAAACGCCCACAAAGTTAAAAAAAAAATTTGGAAACCACACAAAAGAAAGGAAAAAATGAAGATGCGAAAGGAAGAGAGAGTGACTGGCGGGTGGAGCCAGGGCAGGGCGGCCACCGGGGCAGGCGCACAGTGACATCTTGTCTCCCCGAGAAGCTGACCCCAGACAGAAAAATGCGGGTCAGGCTTTTCTAAAATCAAAACGCGTAAGAATGAATGTGAATTGAGAAAAGATGTGGAACCTGTGAGGGATGCCACTGCCTGTGCCAGGGCTGTAAGGAGGTGAGAAGAAAGGGCAACGGGCCAAACAAACCCACATCTGCTGTGTGCCTCCGACACGTCCCGGGCAAGGGGAGGCAGGGGAGGGCCAGGATGATGGGTTCCCGGGGCCTGCAAACTCCGTCTCTTCACGCTCTCCTGATGGCAACCAAACTGACTCCACGGTGGGAGAGGAACACTTTCAGATGACAAGGAGCCAACAGAAGTAGCAAAGGGGACAAGCAGGCTTCACTTTCTGATAACGAGGCCCCTGTGCCGGGGTCACTTTTAGAATCCCCAGGCTGCACAGGGTGGCAGAGCCCAGGCCTGGTACCTGGACGTGGTTTGTGGCTTTGCAGGCCTCTGGCCCACAGCTGTCAGGTCCTCACTCAGAAGGTACCAGCCCACCCCACCTGCGGCCACTCTCCAGAGCCTGAGGGGTCCCTTCCTGGCAACGTGGGTCTTGGTACTGCGTTCCCCAGGGCCTGGCAGCCAGGCCTAATTACTCTGGCTCTCTGCCATCAGGCTTTCTGTCCGCAGGGCAGGTGTAGCTCCCAGGTTTGGATTTCTCTGTGCTCTGAATCCAGGGTTTATCTACCCTGATGGTCCCGGGGGCTGCAGCCTGAACAGGGCAGGATGGGAGGTAGGGCCTCGGGGACTCCTGGGCCAGCACAGGATCCTCTGTGGCTCAACCTAAAGGCATGGGACCAAAGAGCGTCCCCACTGTCACTGCAGAGTGGAGCCGGCTAGCAAGGAGGGAGCTGGGGCTGGCGGGGCCAGCCAATGAGGACAGTAATGCACAGAGAGAAAACCAACACAGACCGTGGAAGTCCTAGCCACAGCAATCAGGGAAGAAAAAGAAATAAAAGGAATCCAAATTGGAAACGAAGACGTAAAACTGTCACTGTTCGCAGATGACATGATCCTATATGTAGAAACCCTAAAGAAGCGACCAGAAAACCACTCATGCTGATTTTCTGAGCCTGGCTCTCCCCAGGCAGAGCCTGCCTCACACACGCCCGCCACCAGCCAAACAACGAATGTCCTGGCTGCGCTGTTAACAGAAGGTGAAGGCCTGGACTGGCCAGCTGACGTAACATTACCGGCATTTTCTGGAATGTTCATTATTATTTTATTAATTTGCTCCAAAGAACCAATCTATATTTGATTTTTAAAATCTGCTAAAAACATCACCCTTGCTTTATTTATTTTTCCCCTAAAGGGATTTAGTAAGATGCTCTTAGAGTGACTCCGGCCTGGTTCTTCTGGTCCAGGAGGAGGCCTGACGGGCACCTCACTGTCCTGCACCTGCTCGGACATGAGCAGCTGCTGTGGGAGAGACAGAGCCCGCCACAGCTCAGCTCCTGCAGATCTTTGATGGGTAAGACATTGTGGACACTATCGCTTTCTTGATACCCCAGGACCTGTCCTCTTTAAAGCCCCCGCGTCCTCACCATTTGTTAAGAATCCCTCCCGAGCCCTACGTCCCCAGCCTAAGTGCCGTCCTCCCCGCACCACCGCCCTCTGGCCGAGGCCCTGGGAGGGGAGCGACTGGGTCACGTCACCGCCCTCCTGGGGTTCGCAGACGGGGGTGCCAAGGAGCAGAGGGGACACGGCCCGCCCATTGCGACACGGCCTGGAAGGGGCGTCCAAGCCCGGGGCTCCCCGGCTGGCCCCAGCGTTCTGTTCTCTGAAGGTCCCCCCAGTGTCACAGTCTTGTTGGTGTCCACTGGCCCTCTGGCCTGGGTGTGTGTGTCAGGAATAGTCCACCTTCTAATTGGCTCAAAATGTGAGAAGGTGGGAAACGAAGTCCCTCATTTTACATCAAGACACCAGGGTGCCAGGCAGCTGGAGGCGAGTTCACCAGTCTCAGGTGGGAAGATCAATAGCGAGGAAATTACACACAGAGAAGGCAGAGGCTCTGACATCTCTTTCACATCCCTCTTTACGGCAATCTTAGCTGAATTCTTGGCTCTCAGTCAAGATCTGAGAGGCAAGGCTGCCAACTAGGTGAGTTTCAGAGCACGAAGCATTTGTCACAGGGCTGTGAAGGAGCCCTGCGGGCACAGGTCACCCTCCCCTCCTGCCAACAGCCCCGGGGACACAGGGACCACTGGGAGGAGCCATACGCAACGTGCCCAGCTCCTGGAGCGGGCCAGCGTGGTTCCTGTGCCTCCATCAGCACCGTGAAGCACTGCCCAGGACTGGCGGTGTCCTAGGTGTGGTCCAGGAGCCCTGGGAACCTCAGGCCCTTTCAGGGGATCCATGATGTCAAAACGACTCTCATATTTATACTAAGACCTTACAGGCCCCTTTCAACATCACGATCTCATTCTTTCCAAAGTGCAGGATGGAGTTTTCCGGAAGCTACAGGACACCTGTCAGCACTAACGGACAGACAGACGTCCTTGCGTCGTCTCGTGTTTCCACCCTTTCTTGGCCTCGCTTTCTGACACACACATGCTGACAGGTACAGCCCGCGTGCACAGAGTCCTCGGGGCCTTCGATGATTTTTAAGAAGATAAAGGGAGCATTAGACACATCACTCTGGGGCTCCGTGGAGGTGGGTCTGAGGGCCACATGGAGGCCTTCAGACAAGAGGCTCCCCGGGAGGGAAGCAGAGATGAGGTCGGCAGGCCTTGGGGCCCAGGAGTCAGGGGAGAGCTGGGCAGATGGGTTTCCAGCAGAATGAGAGCTCCGCACACACGCCTGTCACCCGGCTCCCAGTGGGGACAGCTCTGCTCACACGCCAGATGTCTCAGCGGCAAGGCAGGTGACCCCGGTGAGAGGAGGAAAGGCAGGGCTCTCCAAGGGAAGCGAGGCTGTTCCCTGCCCACCGTGAGCTCCCGCGGGGCGAGCACACACGCACGGCCCTGTGGAAGCTCTGTTGCCGGCCCTGTGACCCCAGTGGGGAGCAGCGCTCGGACGTGCAGACGGGCTGGGCCCCCAGCAGCACCTACCGCCCTTTAAGTCCGCGGATGCTCCCACGTACTGGAAGTTGTCCATGTTGATGACATCGATGATAGGGGACACCACGCGGGTCCTGTCCTGAAACGTGCCAAAGACAAGAGCAGTGTCAGAACCAACCAGGACCGAGCGCAGAGGAGGCCTGAGTGTCAGCTGTCCCAGCGCACCTGCCTGCCCCCAACCCCCGCTGGGCCAGGCGTCCACACACAGCCCCGCGCTGTGCCAGGGCCCGAGGGCGTGAAGGATGCTCCCCAGGGAGAGATGCCCCAAGGCAGCCCTGCCTTTGTTCACCAGCTGAGGACAAGTGTGTCTGGGGCCTCTTGGACTGTTTTCCCAAATGTCAAACTTCAACCAGGGTACCTTTCACTCTGATGGACTCTAAACTCAGCTGTACTTAAACACCAGTAATTAAAATGCCCTTCGATTGAGGCATTTCTTCACGCCACACTGTCATCGTGCTGGTCGGAGTTTGGCAGGTGACACTGCCCCATGCTGACAGTGAACAAGACAGCGAGTGCTTTCCCAAGCCGAGGAAAGAACTTGATTCAGCCAGAAGATGGACTTTGGAAAAAAAACTAGGAATAGAACCAGCAGAGCTAAGAATGTAAGACGTCGGAGGACCACCCTCTTAGCATGTCAGAAAGTTCCCGCACCACCCAGGCGCAAATCTACAGGGAAAAGCTGGTGTGACGGGCAGAGAGCAGAGGATAAACAGCACGGGCCTGGCTCAGCCCGGACCCAGGGGTGAGCATCACAGAATGTCACCTGCACCATTTCCTTTGCTTTGATTTCTTTTGACAGGACTGGAACTGGTGAGGACTATTCTCAACTCTTTCCTATCCTTAAATTAGCAGGGGAGGGTATTTAAATAATCCTGACAGTCTGATCACAGAAGCATGTGGCCTCCCTGTGCCTTGGGATCTAGGGGGCAGCTTTCCTGTGGCTTCTGCGTCCCTGGGACACAGCCTGGTAGAGTGAGAAGCCAGGGCTGGGGTGGAGGGCCCCCAGGATGGGACCTTTCAGCTGGGCGTGTGCATGTGTGTGAGAGGGCTCAGGAGGGATTCAGTGAAACATGCTTTGCCGTCCTGGCTCTGCCCCCTGTTTGATTTTTGGTTACGTTATTAAAGTTCCCTGAACCCCAGTTACCTCATCTGTCAAAAGGAGGTCGGGGGACCTGCGTTAAAGGTAATGGACAAAGTGTCGGGCACGCAGCTAGCACTCAGTAAGCGGCAGGGGACGTGATGATGGCGACACTGGGAGCGTGTGCTATTTCACGTCTCCTGGCTCACTGCCCATCAGCCATCCTTGCTGTGGTGTAAGAAGAATGACTTGTCCCCTTAATATGTCTCTAGTATTTTCATTAAGTTTGCTCTATTGTCCCCAGGAAGTAATTCCTTAGTAGGGACGAAAGAAAGTCAATAAAACAAGCAGAAGGCAAGAGAAATACTACAAGAGGCTGAACGCAGTACTAGTGAGGGTGTTGCCAGAAGGCACAGGTGCACAGTCTCGGATCACCTGCCTGCTCCAGGGTGGTCACTGTGTGGGTGGAGCTGGCCCTGCCCCACGAGCCTGCAGGCCGTGTCCCAGAGCATCGCGGCCAGGCTGGAGGCCAGGCCGGCTCCGTCCTAGGCACTCTGCTCCCTCTGAGCTTGAAGAATTGGTACCAAGCTTCAGGTAGGGAAGGAAAGAGCCCTCTGAAGAAAAGGGCTGTCTGAAACTAACCAGACTCTCACCAGCCTCTGCGGACCCTCACCTCCTACTTGCCAAATGATTATTTTCCCTACAAAGAGATTTCCTACAGTGGATACCGTGCTCTTAAACAACACCCCGGAAGCACTGTCCCCTCTCCCACGTCACGGAGACATCGGGGTCCACCTCACCTCAGCCACCCTCTCCAGGAGGGGCTCCAGCCAGTGCTCGTTGCACTCACAGTGGCTGTCCAGGAACGTCAGCACCTTGGCCTGGGCCGCGTCGGCCCCCCGCACCCGCGAGCGCATCAGGCCTGGGGAGCAAGTTCCAAAGCACATCAGGGGAGAAGACCTCGGGTTCCCAAGAAAAAGGGACACCCAGCACCTCCTTGGCCACCTCCCCACTCATCCCTCTTGCCGGGCATAGAGTTCATCGGGAACTTGAACTTGAGTGGTGGGATTAGCACTGCCCTTCAGTAACCGAGATAACAGTCCTGCCAGGACTTTTTTTACGTTCACTGGATGACTAAGAAGACGACTTGGGACGAGGGCCTTCCGCAGAGGGCCTTTGCATAATCGAAGTCTCCTTTATCAAGGAACTGAAATGTGCAATTTTTAAAACCACTTTCCTCGGACACAGCGGTAGAGTTTTCTAATTAACGGGGAGAAGGAACGTGTCACCCAGACGCTTCAAGTACTGATGGCGCCAATTTTAATGACGATAATTTAATGACAACAGCGTTGCTGATGCCTTTGCCTTCTACAACTTACCACAAGCTGAATGAACATAAATGACACAGCCCAGTTGTCTGGTTTTGCCAAACGAAATGAGTTACGCTACTGGCCAAATTACACAACTCACCCTTGTGATCTGTCGTTAAAAAACATTTTTTAATTATTGCACAAAGTTTTAGCATAAATAATATATTTACACTAGATGGTGTGGTCATAAGTGGCTTCTGCTATGCATGCAGGGCTTTAAATGTGGAATATGATGCGATTATTCACAACCAGTGAGGACAAGGGTTCTAAATTCTTCACACACAGTGGTCAAAATGGGTTTTCAATGATTCTTAAAAAGCTGCAGGCTAGAGCAGGAAAAAAAGGCAAAAGATTTCCAGTTTTGCGATTATAAAATAGCTCGTATTAGGCAAACCCTTACTCAGAGGACAAGTACATACCCTGAGCAAAACAGAAGTGCAACTGTTGGAAAGAGACAGAGTAGCCAGAAGCATGCAGAAACGAGAGGGCTTTCAACCCTTCAAGGAAGAAAATCACACGGAGGGAAATCCAGGTTTGGACGGCATTTCCCCTGACATTATTCTCCAATCCACTCCAGTGCAGCCTTTGTGGCTTGAGGTGTCAGAGGATAGAGTTTGGGGTTTCTAGAGTGGCTGGAGACAGGAAGAGATCCTGGAAAGAAGGTAAACCCCAAATCTGGTGAGAACCCCCCCCTTAAATCCTTGGCTGACTCTTGAACCCGCAGGTCCAAGGAGTCCATGGAAAGAAACAGCCAGAAGCAGAAAGAACTGAGATTTCAGCTGGTATCAGGGATGCAATGTTTGGCACTTGAGTTCTGCCAAATTAGAAGGGCCTGGTGAACGCCTCAGTTCTACAGAAACTCCACAAGGAACACATTTAGGAATAGAGATTGTGTCTCAGGAATAAGGGACTCACCCAAGATGTACTCATTCTAGAAAAGTACAAAGACAGGCCTACACAAGTTCAAGGTCACTGAGCTTTAATTGCCCCATATAACAAAGATCAAGACTCTTTAGAGAAAGACCACAGAATCCAGTATCTCTACAAAAAACCAGTCACAATATCCAATATAAAATTTAAAAATTAGCAGACATGAAAAGAGAAAAATGTAATCCATACCCAAGAGAAAAAAATCAATAGAAATGACTCACATGTTGAAATTAACAGACAAGGATTTTAGAGCAGCTATCATAATAACTATGCCCAAGAACTTCAAGGAAATGATGACTGTAATGAGGAAACAGATGGGGGATCTCAGCAGAGAAATGAAAACTTTAAGAATTAAACGGATATTCCAGAACTGAAAACTACAATGATCTGAAATGAAAAATTCACTGACTGGGTTTAATAGCAGATTACGGATGTCAGAAGGACCAGTGAACTTGAAGATGCTTCAGTAGAAACTGATCTATCTGGTGAACATAAAGGAAAAATACTGAAAGAGAAAAAAAGCTTAAGTAATCAATGGACAGTAAGTGGTATAACATATGTGATATGTGTACTCAGAGGCCAAGAACGAGCAGTCTGCCCCACTCCAGGGCAACCCCACATGTCCAAGAATGAAGCAGAAAAAAATGCATGAAGAAGTAAAAGGCCAACAGTGTCCCAAATTTGGTGGAAAACATCAATTTACATATTCAAAGGGATCAGCAAACCTGGAGCAGAATAAATACAAATCAAATCAAATCTAGGCATGTCATAGTCAAACTGCTAAAAACCAAAGACAAAGAGACCATCTGGAGAGGAGGGGTGGGGGAGGGGCAGAGGAAGGGTGGGGCCATGGCCCCGGAGCTGGGGATAACAAGAGACAATCTGGAAATCAGCCAGAGGAAACAATCTGTAACACACAAGAAATCAACTATAGAGATGACAGCCACATTTTAAACATGAAAATAGAGGCCAGAAGACACTGCAATGACATTTTAAAACTGCTGAAAGAGAAACAAATGGTCAACTCAGAATTCTATTCAGAGAAAATATTCTTCACTAATGAAGGAGAAAATGGGCTTTTCTGATAAATAGAAGTTGAGAGATTTTATTGCCTACAAGAAAAAATAAAATTCTAAAGGTCCTCTGGGCTAAAGGGAAATGACACTAGATGGGAACTTGAATCTATGTAAAGGAATGAGGATCCCAGAAATTAAAAATACAAGGATAAATTCTGCAGTCCATTTATATATTCTAATTTTTTATACGACAACTGATTATTTAAAGCAAACATTTTAACACTGCACTGTGGGGTTTAAAACATATAATAACAACACATGATGAAAAACACATGATGACAAAGATACACAAGACAGTAATAGAAATGGAAATAAACTGTTGCAAGGTTCTTACACTTTATGTAAAGTGGTATGGACTCTAAATAGACTGTTACAAGTTAAAGATGCATATTGTGACCCTCAGAGCAACCGCTGAAAGAAATGTAGAACTAAAAAGCTACAAGAAGAATGAAAATGGAACAAACTCACACAAGAATAATTTCAAAGTATATTACAAAGCTATAGTAATCAAAACGGTATGGCATTGGCATAAAAACAGACACACAGATCAATGGGATAGAATGGAGAGCCCAGAAATAAACACAAACATATGTGGCCGTTAATTTACAACAAAGGAGCCAAGAATAGACAATGGGGAAAATATAGTCTCTTCAATAAAGAGTGTTGGGAAAACTGGACAGCAAGATGCAAAAGAATGAAACTGGACCCTACCTTACACCACACACAAAATCAAAATGGATTAAAAGCTTGAATGGTAAGACCTGAAACCATAAAATGTCTAGAAGGAAACAGAGGTAAGTTCCTTGACATCTGTGGCAGCAATAAGTTTTTGAATTTGACACCAAAACAAAGGCAGTAAAAGCAAAAATAAAAAGGGACTACATCAAACTAAAAAGCTTCTGCACAGCAACATCCAAAAAACTATTCACAAAATGAAAAGGCAACCTATGGAATAGGAGAAAATATTTGCAAATCGTGTAAGTGATAAAGGATTAATATCCAAAATATATAAAGAACTCATATGACTCAATAGGGCAAAAAAAAAAAATCCAATTAAAAAACAGAGGAATTGATAAGATATTTTTCCAAAGAAGACACACAGATGGCTAGCATGCACATAAAAAGGGTGTTTAACATCACTAACCATCAGGAAATGCAAATCAAAACCACAATGAGATACCACCTCACCCCTGTAAGCATGGCTGTCATCAAAAAGACAAGAGATGACAAGTTTTGGTGAAGATGTAGAGAAAAGGGAACTCTTCTGCACTGATGGTGGGAATGTAAATTGGTGTAGCCACTATGGAGAACAGTACTGGGGGGGGCTTCAAAAATCTAAAGCAGAACTACCATATGATCCAGCAATTCCAAGGAAGTGAAATAATTATCTCAAAGAGATATCTGCAGCCCATGTTCACTGCAGCATTATTTATAACAGCCAAGACATGGAAGCAACCAAATGTCCACAGATGGATGAATGGATAAAGAAAACGTGATACACAGACACACACAGAGGAATACTATTCAGCCATAAATAAGAAAGAAATCCTTCCGTTTGCAGTGATAACGTGGATGGGCCTTGAGGGCATTATGCTACGTGAATAAGTCAGACAGAGAAAGAAAAATACTGTATGATCTCACTTATATGTAGAATCTTAAAAAAAAAAACCCATAGATACAGAGAACAGATTGGCGGTTGCCAGAGGAAGGGCAGTGGGGGAAATGGGTGAAGGTGGTCAAAAGGTACAAACTTCCAGTTACAAGATAAATAAGTCCTGGGGATGTAGTATACAGCATGGTGACAGTAGTTAACAATACTCTATTGTATTTTGGAAGTTGCCAAGAGAGTAGATCTTAAAAGTTCTCATCACAAGAAAAAAAAATTTGTAACCGTGAGGTGATGGATATTAACTAACCTTGTGGTGGTGATTCCTTCACAGTATATATATACACATCAAATCATTATGTTGTACGCCCCATAGAATCAATGTTATAGATCAACTATATCTCAATAAACTGGAAAAATCAATTAATTAGGCAGAATAGTAGGAACAGAGGAATAAAAAGCACAGACCATCATTCTAAGTGAAATAAGCCAGACAGAGAAAGAAAAATGCCACATGATACCACTCATATGTGGAATCTAAAAAAAAAGAAAAAGAAAAAGAAAAAAGAAGACACTAATGAATTCATCTAAAGACAGAAACAGATTCACAAACATAGTAAACAATCTCATGATTACTGGGGGAAAGGGATAAACTGAGTTCGAGATGTGTAAATACTAGCTACTATATATAAAATAGATAAAAACAAGTTTCTTCTGTGTAGCACAGGGAACTATACACAGTATCTTGTAGTAACCTACAACGGAAAAGAATATGAAAACAATGATATGTATGTGTATGTATGCCTGAAACATTATGCTGCACACCAGAAACTGACACACAGTAACAAACTATATACTTCAATTAATAAAAAAAGCACAGGAGACAAACAGAGAACTTGGCCTATAAACTTGGTTCCAACCCCACTAGTCATTAAATAGGTGGCTGACGTTGAGAAATTAGTTGTCACTAAATGGCTGGATGATCTTGAGAAAGCCACTTAAACTCTTCGGGCTTTAATATTTCCATCTGTAAAAGGAGAAGGACTGGTTTTCAACTTTCAAAGTGTATCAGTATCACCCAAGCAGCTTTCAAGATGCAGATGTCCTGGCCCTACCCCTAAAAATTCAAAAGTATTTCTTCAGTTGTGGGCAGGATCAAGCCTGGCCGTCTTTTAACTTCCCTAGGCGATTATAATAATTAGCCAGATTAAGATGGGTGGCACAACGAAATCCCCAGCACTAAATGAGCCCAAGGCTGCTCCTTCACTATCATGTTTTATGCCACTGATTTTCCACTAAATGAGCCCAAGGCTGCTCCTTCACTATCATGTTTTATGCCACTGATTTTCTCCGATCTACCGGTATCTCTATGAGCACTTGTGCGTATGTTGAAAAAATGGGTAAACACACACACACACGCACAGGCATGCATTTGTGTGTGTGCGTCTTCTCACTGAACCGTCACATTTCTTCACCTGTTCCATCAGGCCTCCCGTGATCTGGCTTCCCACAACTGCCCCTCCTCATTCCTTCCCAAACAACGCATCCATGTGGGTTCTTCCCCGAATGAACAGCCTAACTTAAAGCAAATGGTAAGTTTATATTCAGAAGCATTGCTTTTGATTGCTAAGCAGGTTAAAGGCACTCTTTGATAAGGCTAGCAAGTGATTTGTTAGTTACAAAATGCCAACGTGAAAAATGTCTTTTTTTTCCTCCTCCTCCTTTTTTTTTTACCCCTGTGCCAACAGACACTTTGGTTTGAATTCAAAAGTTACTATGTAATTTCTTTAGGGGCAAACACAACGCGAGACTTTGGTTTGATCTCGAGACTTTGGTTTAATCTAAGCTTGGGAAACAGATGTGAGTCCAGCAAACAGCGCTTGCGTAGAGGCAAGGCTGACCCCGTTGTTTATGCATCTTGAACATCTGGATTGATGATCTGGGTCGGTTAAAACATAGTGTTGATGATACTGCCCTAACAGGCTGAACCGCTTTTACTGACTGATTGGATTCTTGCTAAGAAAAACTGCATTCCTTGACTCCAGCTGGATTGCACCAGGGACCAGCAGAGAGAGAATGTTCACTGCTCAGAGAGCACAACCACCAGTCCTGGGATCAACAGACTCATCTTCAAACAGCAAAAATGGCACATGATTTAAAGCTCTGTGGTTTTCCTACAGAAAGACTTCTCAGGGCTGTGGAGGAACCCAGAATCCAGCTGCCGAGCTCTCCAACAGCACAGACACCCTGGGTGTTAATTACACTGTGATTTCAGCTTCCCTTCCAGACACTTCAAAGCAATGCTTTCCCCTCGGGAGTCTCTCTTCTAACTGCCAATGAAGTGGACTTGATGAGCCCAGCTCCAGCCAAGTCAAGACTGACAGCAGGCTCAGAGGCCGGCATTTGCAAAACCCAATAAGCATGTAATTATAGTGCTCTTCCCCCCTCCACCCCTTTTTTGGAGGGTTCACCTTCAGCTGGCTGTCAAATTTGAATCCCAATTATTTAATCACATGCCTGGAGCACGGAATCATTAAAGTTCTCATCGCTAAGTCTCTGTTTTTCTTCTAAATGCTAGTACTCAGGGGACTGATAAGACTTCTGAGGTTGCGAAAGAAAGAGAGAAGCCAGTTTTCTAAACACATAAATAAGAAAGCAATTTGAACTCTGGCCCAAGTACACAAACAATTTCAATTAGTTAAGCTTTACATGTCCTTCCTGTGTTTGCTGGGAGAGGTCCCCAAGCAGCTCTGCTAAGGGCAGGCAAAAGGACGAGACAATTCATTGTTCTTGCAGCGGAAACATTTCTGCAAGTTACTACTGGGCTCAGGAAAGGTCAGAACTCAACCGCCCTGGTACCAAATTAAGAGAAGTCTTACCTTCTCGCCGATCGTTTCTGAGAACCCGCACTTTCTCAATTTTCCCCAAGAGGGCCCCGTCTTCGGCTGGGAAGAGGAAGGAAGCAAAGCGATCTGAACACGGCAGGCAGGCACAGTGCTTCTCCACCACCCACGTGCTGATGATCCCCTCGGGGCACCGGAGAGGCACCCTCTTTTCCACAGCCCCGATTTCTGGCCTTTTCATGAAACTGGTCCTTAGCACCCACGGCGCAGGAAGGCTGGCGCCCGGGAGAAGGGCCCGGCGCAGGCCCGGGGGCGGGGGTGGGACCCGGCTCTACTTACGGTCATTGCTGTAGTCGTCCACCAAGATGATTTCTTTTATGAGGTGGGGCGGGCTTTTCTTAAGCACACTGAGGAAAGACAGAAGGATGAAGCTGTAGGCCTTTTCAGGGTATCACTCGGAGTGGGCAATTCTCTTAGGGCTCCAATCCTGGCCGGAGAAGCCCATCAGCCACTCTTTGTGCTGCACAGTCAGGTGACCTGTCTGCACCCCCAAAGATAGCCCTGGCTGCACTGGGGGCCCGGCCCTTGTCCAGCATTCCTGCCAAGGAACGCCCCCCTCCACCCACCACAAACCACAGCCAGTGGCATCTCCTGGCCTCACCTGACCACTGTCCTCAGCAAGGCCGACCTGGCTTCATTGTGAAACGTTATCACCACGCTGGTGGCTGGCAGATCCACCCGCCACTGCTTCCGCTGGCACCTGAAGGAAGAGGAAAAGCGTCCTGAACAAGCCTGGAGAAGCCAACGCAAGGCCCCCGGTGGCCCGGGCAGCCAGGCCTGAAGGATGGGTGCTCTGGAATGGACGTGGCGTCTGCAGAAGTCACTGGCCTATTTTGAGACACAGTGACAACGGGACATAAGGAAACAGAAGAACACAATCAGAGCAACATTTAAAAAAAATACTTTTACTGAAGTATAGTCAGTTTACAATGCTGTGTCCATTTCTGCTGCACAGCACAATGCTTCAGTCATATAGGAACATACATATATGCCTTTTCATATTCTTTTTAACCGTAAGTTCCTACAAGATAGCATTTTAAAAAAGGAATGAGTTCCCTGAAAAGTAACATATTGAGAACATCTTTCTAACGTGTTGGGAAAAAAAGCATGTTTCAAAACAGTGAGATCCCGTTTATTCTCACATGCAGACACACCTCTGTGGATGTGCTTTCCACGGCTCGCGGTGGCTATTTTCGAGGGGCGGAACCAACTGTGTGCCGCTGCTCTTTTCTCATTTCCTACTCTGCCTGCGACAAGCATGCGGGACCCTGTGATTCTCTGCAAAGTTGCATCCGGTCCCAGGCACCACCCCACCGACTGCTCCCCCTGCCCCTGGACAGGAGGACGCACACCCCTCCCCTGGCCCGACCGCGTCCAAATGGCGCAGGTGACAGAGGCGCAGGCTGGTGCGTCCGAGGGAAGGACGGATGGGCACCTGAGCCCGTTGCTCCCTCCGTGTGCTTAGGGCAGCATTGAAAGGACCCAGGACGGCTCTGAATCAAGTCGGTTCAGGCCTGCAAACTCCGGGCAGACTACAATAGGCGCGTCTCAAGTCTGGGCCCTGCAGACGGACCCAGGACTGCAAAGGCCCTGAGGGGGCTATTTACAAATACACGACTACAGCTCTAGGCTGATGCTGCCAGAGCATCGTCCCCCAGGAGACGGAAACCATCTGAAGGCGACCAGCCTCAGCAGGACCCATCACGAGGGGCCCTCAAGTCCCTCGAAGGCTCCATGAACTTGACGGACAGACCAGTGCCGTTGAGGTGACGCTCCCAGAGAATCCTGAGATGGCAAGACCCCTGCGGTGGGCTGACAGCGCCTGAGGACCGCCGGGGACAGTCCAATTGTGGTGTGAGTGCGTTCAGAGAGTTCCCTGGCTGGTGAGACTGCTGATACCAGCCTGGAAAAGAGGCTGGGCCGACAGCTAAAGCGTCTTGGCTTCTGGGAAGCAGCTCTCAACCGGTCTTTTTTTTTTTTAATTGAAGTCTAGTCGGTTTACAATGTTGTGTTAACTTCTGGTGTACGGCATAGTCATTCAGTTATACACATATACATTCCTTTTCATGTTCTTTTTCATTATAGGTTACTACAAGACATTCAGTATAGTTCCCTGTGCTCTACAGTAGGACCTTGTTGTTTATCTATTTTATATTTAGTAGTGTGTATCTGCAAATTCCGAACCCCCAATGTATTCATCATCCCCGGTAACCATCAGTTTGCTTTCTATGTCTCTGAGTCGGTCTCTGTTTTATAAATAAGTTCATTTGTATCTTTTTTTTTTAGACTTTACATATAAGTAATATCATATGGTACTTATCTCTTTTTTGGCTTAGTTCACTCAGAATGACGATCTCCAGTCGCCCAGTCATTTTGGACCCAAGGTCAAGAGGCTGAATGGTCTTGCCTGCAGCAGGGCAGGGACCATCAGCTGGCCTCCAGGATGCGGTCCCTCCACGCTCATCATCTGAGAGTCCCTGCACTGGTACCAAAGGAGCTGGAAAACCTTCTGTGGGTTTCCAATACATTTTCAAGAACTTGTTTTACTCCTTAGCGCTTATGTGGTTGACCACAGCTGTAAACAATCTGCTCCCAGAATTAAAGGTATCTACCTTAAATGGGAAATCCGTAGGAAAAGGAGAAAGATTAAAAAAAAAAAAGCACTTTGGTGCTCAGCCATGGCTAAAAGTGGGTAAGCAATTCAGATGCTTGGGCAGCGAGTGACCAGGAATTCCACCCGAACGGGATCACCTTGGAGGACAATGTTCAGCAGACACTGATTTTCTCTCCCTCACGACTGGGAAAACTGCTTCAGAGAAGCATTTTGAAAATGAGCAAGAAAAGCAGTACAATTAAAAAGCAATTAGGTCAGATCACAAAACGGGCTTTTGTTTATTTTAGTTATATGGAGAGCTTGATTTTAATTAACCGTGAGAAAAGTATGTAACACAGCAGTGGCTGTTGTCTGGGAAAAGAACGGATTCTGGAATTAATATCAAGCATCACCATGGCTCCTGACGGCTAAGTCTTTCATGACAAGTACATGGACAGGCCAGGGTGGTGGTGTTTTTTTTTTTATTCCATTTCAAGAATTTGCCAACTGTTAGATTAAGGAAGAAAGACGTTAAGAATCGTCAAGGTTCGACTATAAACAAATTACCAACAAACGTCACTCCCAAGAACTCAATCTGTAACGCTAATGAAAGAAGAACTCTGCGATGAGAGGCCGGTATCCTCTGCAGTTAGCTCCCACTCGACACGGCGGGAAGGGCTGAGCTGAGCAGACTGTGTTGAATGACTTACTGAACACGGGCTCCTGCAGCCACGGGAGATTTCAAAGAGACAGAAGGCAGCATTTTTCATGCTCAAATCATAGTAAACCCAACCGACCCAATCACGTCCTATTCTCTCAGTTTCCTTTTCTCTGCAGGAAGCCTTGTCTCCCACGAGCATCTGGAAATCGTGAGGGGGCTCTGGAAACATTTTTCAGAACACACAGGGCTGCCGCGCTCCCATCATTTCATTAAAATTCCTCTACGTGGTCATAGGGCACCAAGTTTTGCTCAGGATCGGCCATCAGGACGTTTAGGAGGGCTCCCATTTTTGCGGTGAAGAAGGCTGACAAGTAGAAATGGAGGAAGACTTCAGCCCCCGTGAGCTGAAGAACGTTATATGCATGTATATGAATTCAGATCCAACGTCCTCACACTGAGCCAAGGAAAGAGGGGGAGGGGGGCGGCTTGAAGACTTTCTTTAAAAAGAAACAGACTAAATCTCGCACGTCAAGAGCCCTGTCCCTGCCAAGCCGTCTTCACCGCTCCAGGGCTGTTGAAAGGACGCCCAATATAGAAACTTGCCGGTGGAGGGGGGGAGCTGCTGGGGGTCCTCTCAGACGCGGGCTTTCTTTGGGAACTGAGTAGAAGCCATAGTTTATTTGAAATCAGCAGCAAGAAGAGCTGGCGCTTAGCCCTGTGCTCCCTCCCAGACGATGTGTGGAAGCCAGATGATGCTGAGGCCGGGCTTTGGGTCCAGCTCACTTGGGTCTCCAAGGGTCATTCTGGTAACTTCTGGTCCAGTACAATGCAGACTTGGAAAAAACTGGACACATAAGGATTTTTTTTAATCCCCAATTTAGTTTTAAATGTCTCTGAGACCAGATGGCTAGCGTTATCTGAACTCCTGATTGGCTGGGAAAGGAAAGTACGGTGCGAAGGATGAAACTGCCTCGGGGGAGGCTTGTCTCTGATGCAGATGTTACACTGGAGGTTGGTCCAGACACTGATGGATGAGGACACGCACATCTCCAGACCGGGCAGCCAGGCGCTCTGTTTAACAACACGAAAGGCTGGTCCACGGGAACGAGCACAGAAACACGCTCTCTACCCCGCACCCCGCGTGCCCTTCCGCACCCCCACCTAGGCTGGTCCAGCCTGCGGTTACCGTGGTTACCCACTGGGCGACCTGAGGCCCTTCATCCTTCCTCAGCTGTGAAAATGACGCTTACAATCTTGATGGTTATTGGGGAAATCAAACGATGATGAAGGACTCTGAATACTGCAAAGTCCCTGTAACCCTAGCAAGGGTTAGAACGTGCACGTGGCCGCTGTGTGCCAATGGGGACTGCTCAGCCTACATGAGCATCTTCTGGTTACCCAGCACCTGGCACTCAGCCCTTCTCTGCAGCCAGCGGGGTCCGTGGAGAGGGGTTTGTAGACAGACCCCATGACCCTTAAGCATGTGACACCCAGCCAGCGTTCTGGTCATTGTCTGCAGGAAACCTCTGACAACGGAGACCCCGAAAGTCAGTCTCTTTGGCAGTGACTTCTTACTGTGAGCCCACAGCAGGCCTTCCGGCCCTGTCGCAGCCTCCCATGGGACAGCTCCAAGGGAGACCGGGATCTCACATGTTTCAAGATTCCGGTTGCTGTCACATGTACTTCGTTTCACAAATTCCAAATTCTCACACTGGCATTCTGGAGTCATTCAGTCTGTGAACTGAGTCTGAAGTCTGCCCCTGAGACATAAACTCCGCTTTGATTTATTCACAACAAAACAAAGCAAAGCATGGGGTGGGGGAGTAAAGGAACAAAAAAAAATTTTTTTTTCTGAGTTTGCAAAGCTCAGAGTCAGGTCTTGGACCCTGACGGACTCAGTGCAGTAATGTGCGTGCTGTGGCCTTGTGAGGGGCACAGCCAGCCAGTGCCTTCCCGGGCAAGCCCGCCGCCACCACCACCATCACTGTGTGCACACATGTGCAAAATATTTCAAACAAAATATAGAGGCGTTACACAAGCGCCTGTGCTCCCTCCACTCAGCTTTGTCAAACCTTAATAATTTGCAGTAGTGGCATTTGATTCGGATTCTTTTTAATGAAATAAAACAGGACAGACGGTAAATAGTCCATGGTATGCCGTTCGCACCGCAAACCCCGCCTTCACCAGCAGTAACCACCATCCTCAATTTGGCACTTCAGTGTTCCTACGTATGTCTTCAACAAACCACATCTGCACATTTTCACAAATAACACGCAGTATTGTTCTGCACGTGTTCAAGACATGTACGGAGGGCCCTGCGCTGTGGCTGGCTTGCCCTCTTCACCTTTGGGGACGTATCTGCTTTGACACACACAGCTCTGTTTCAGTTCACACGGCCATGTAGCTTCCCCCTGGAGGAACACACACCCTCAGTCCTTCTGCTGAC